GAAATGAGTTGTAACCACCCCTACCTCTTCCATTCTGCCATGGTCTCCCATTTCTCTATCAGATACACAGACAGCATTTGTGCATTTCCGTCAGGTGCTCCTTCGTGCTGTGGCATCCTCTACCATGCTGTCCCATTTCCACCTTCCTGCTGGCCATGTTTCTCTTCTCTTCCTATGGGTACTGCCTCTGTGCATACTGCTAAATGATCTTCCACCTCCCTTTCTCATCCCTCCCTGCCTCCATGTTGTAGGGGTTTATCTCTGTAACCGCAGGCTGTAGCTACAAGTTTCCTCAGGACTGCCTCATATTCTCCATTCCCATGCGGGGGTGCTGCAAGCCTTCCTCAAGGCTGTGCTTGGCTGAGGACTGCTCTGAAGCACGGCGGTGACAAAGGTCTTTTTGCAGGGTTTGACACTGAGGTTAACTTCGGTTTATCTCTGCACAGCCGATAGGAGCTGACACTGCGTGCCACATAGGCGCAGCCAAAGAGGCTACTCCAGAGCACTTGAGGTTGGTGTCTGCACAAGGTTTCCGAGCCAACTTGAGTGCAAAGACCTAAGGGCTGGAACGGAACCAACCTCTGTGGTAAGAGACTACTGCCATTAGATTAACAGGGCCAGATTCCCTTTGCATGTTGCAAAAAACAGAAGAGGAGTGGATTTGGAACCATGTAGTTACCTTTCTTTGAGAAGAGGAATAAAAGGATTGCTGTTCTGGGTTTTTTTTTCTTCCCCCTTCTAATGTGCTCTCTTGGGCAGCGCTCCTCTTTCCCATTTACGGTTCCAGGTGTGTATTACTCCTCACTCTGGGAAACTAGCTTCCCACATTTCTTGATTCAGAAGTCAGAGAACTGGCTACAGAAAGCTATTGATCAGTTCATCCATGTCTGTCTTGGTGAGGGTGAAAGTTTCAACCAGCTAAAACATGGGAATAAGTGTGCTAAACATGTGGAAGGGTGGCTACACCTGGCAGAGTTAGGAGGATTATTTAAAATTGATTTTGCCCATACCTCTTGTTTTTGTTACATTTCCTGTACTGACAAATAAGGATATTATTAAAACCTGAACTTGCTATAGTATTGATTTGAGTCAGTTATTAAGGCATTTCTAAGACAGTTATGGTCAATAAAAATCAATGTTAGCTGATACACTTATGAAAGCGAATGATTTCCAGTAACCTTTTTTTATGGCAGTGCTTGATACTAACCATAGAAATCTGCAGGATTGCTGTACCTTGGGCAGGGATAGCCTAGTTCGGTGAAATACGGGACCATGTCTCTAGCTGTTCCAGAATAGACAGTGACTCCAGAAGTCATCAGAAGAACTAAATCAAACAGTTGGAAGATATCTGACCGGGGCTGATGAAGTGAAAGAACTACTAATCTGTTTCCTCTGGCCAGTCTGGATAATGTTATCACAAGGTTATGTGCAGTAAAACTGTCCAGTCCAGATGTGGGTTCATCAAGTATGAGTATTCCTGCCAAAGACAATAAGTTTAGCTGTGGAAAGCAGCATGTTTGATTTGGAAAATACGTTCTAAGTGAAACGGTGCTAGTGCATGAAATCACACATATATATTCCTTTTTTTTTAAAGTCCAAAGTATATGTCATACCAGCATAATATTCAACAACGGCAATTTCTTGCACTATCTTACTGAACATGATGACAAAGAGTAAATCTTGTCTAGCTCCCACTGGAAACAAGAATGTTTTTAATTTTTCATTGGGATGCAGATTTAGGTTGCTTATTAAATTTACGTTCTTCTCTGCAGTTTTTGCACTTTGCCTGTAGAAATATCATGTACATGAATATTAATTAATAACAATAGTATTAGTTTTGTATCCTGAAAAAAATTTGAACCTAAATGCTCGATATTTAAACCTCTTGCATTATTCATGTGTAAATACTCACACAGTATTCATTTAGATAGCTCCTCCTGCCAACCTGTGCTCTATTTTGCACCTATTCACAGATATATATGAAGAGATATGCATATGTTTGGAATTTGTTTGTTTTGCAATTGGTTGTTACAAACTTGAAAGAGTTACTATGTTGCAGTGTTTGTGGTGTTACAGAACTTAATGACCTCAATCAGAGCAAGGCAATGTCTGTACACAGACATGGTTTCTGTGCTGAGGGGTATAATACATGTTTGAAATGTAAAGAAAACTTTACTTATTTTTCCTAGAACTAATTATTTTTTTACTTCAGTACCAGCACATCTATTCCTGAGCCTCACTTCTTACAAAAAAATACTTCTGCTTTCCATTTCCCAGTGGAAGAGCTGATGGGAAATCTTGCTCAACGAGAGGCTCAGCCAAGATTATTAGTGCTTTTGAGATATATTTATAAGAGCAGATAGGGGATTCAGTCCTGCAAAATCAACTGTGGGTTTAGCCTCATGTTTTGCTTCTACTGAAGACGATGGAAATTTCTAGCTCACCTGCGACATGAGCCAGCCGCGTCACTGAGTTGCACAAGACCACAATGACTGATTATGCAGCCAAGAAAATGACCTTCCCTGTTAACACTGCACATGTAAATGGGCTGGGTTGGAGGAAAGGAAAACAATCCCAATGTTATAATAGGCCAGCAGCCTTCCAAAGTAACTTGTGGCATGTGGTCAGATAAAAACCAAACCTCATGCTGATATGCACAAGCCAGAGCAGTGCTGTGAGGGTGACTTCAGGCAACTTTCAGTAGTCTGTTTGATGGTGGTTTTAGAGAGCAGTGGGTGAAGGCTCCCAGGGGGGCTCTGCCTGGCTCTGTCACTGCTGCTCCATTGGCAAAGGTGACAGAAGCAAAAGTGGGCTGGCTCCTGAACCGCTCCATTTCAAGACTTA